TGGCGGTAATGAGAATCGAACCAGCGAACCTGGGACCAGTTTTTACTATGTCCAATTTTTTAAAGTTGCCATCAAAATTTTGAAACTGAACTACTCAAACCACTGGTGGCATATTTATTCAGAGTCATCGCCAGCTCGTTGATATTAATAATAATTTTCAATTTCCCGAAGAAGTTTGTTTTCATAAAAAAATCCGATTCGCTAATTTTATGTTTTCTTGACGTTTCAAGCCATTCGGAATCGAATGAAACTAAATTTGAAAAAAAGTATGTGTGTGATCAGATTTTTTGCCATAAATCGACGTTTTCTTAAAAAATGGCTGGACCGATATCGATGAGGAGAGCGTTTATCAATTTTGCGCGACGAACAGCCAAGCCGTTTCTTTGTAAATAGCAGGAAAGTGACAAATTTTTGTTCACGTTTTACCTTTCAATGCTGATTCGATTTTAAAAAATTAAAAACTTTTTGAAAGATATTGGTTTGAAATGATAACGATTAGTTTCAGGTAAACATATATCGAGCCGTTTTCTTGAAATTAACTGTTGAAAAAAATTGCTTGCTGATTTTTATGAGGTTTCAGGTTTATAGCCACCTCTGGCAGCCTGATGTCAAGCAATACTGACAGTATTACAGTAATTGTATAGTAGTAATAGTCAATCACATAACACATAGAGAAAGTAGGTTGGTTTTGCCATCTATAAAACCGACTAAGTAGTTATGACTAATCACCACAATAGTTATGTGGCTCTTATGTTCTGATTGATGTTCGGAAAAAAATGAATGACTTCGGCTCTTTCCATCATTGTAAGCCATAGTGACAGTATTACAGTAATTGTAATAATATAATTCATCACATAGAGATAGGACAACTTTTGAGGTTGCCATCTATAAAAACCGACAAGTTAGTTATGTTAAATCATCACAATTAGGGAATGCGATACCGGTATACCGGTATACAGAATTACCGGTAAACCGCCCGATTTTTTACCGGTATTTATTCTAAAAATACCGGTATTTTCGGTATTTTTACATAAGCGCTATTTGATACATAATACCCTAAAGTTTAAATTTCTCGGAACAAATTTCATAATCGCATAAACAACTTATCTTCATATCATATCTTCAAGTGATTCTATAAGATAAACAAATGCGAAATATTATCTCAACTCATTATTAAACTGAATAATTATTGCTTTCCAAAGGGCTTCATATCGTGTTATAATAAATAGAATTGGACTGATAGATAATTATGTTTGTTTCATCTTTTGTAAAAATGTAACGGTTTTTTAAGTGATATTTGCGCCAAAATATGTCATATCATACAGATTACCCCTGCGTAATCTTTATTTTTTTCTAATTTTATACATAATAATTATGATAATTACTAAATATTTTTGCTTCTTATTACAATTATAAAATATTATTTTTCGAAAACGTTTCGAAGTTTGAAAATACTATGGAAGCATCACATTGTTATAAATAACAATACTCAACAATTATAGTAACTTATTATTTATCTCGACAAAGAATCCGATCTTAAATTAGAGTAGAAAAATATTTTTTTTATAACTATTGGAGATTATGCTAATTTAACAAATTGGATACAGACAATACAGTTTATTATAATAATGTAATATAATTTTTTATGAGTTTTTGGTCTTTTTTACTCATAAGTTTGTTTTTGGTGAAAAGTACTCAATATACTCGATAGTGATAATGAATTAATTAAATTGTATATAATTTTGCTAAATTATTATTTAAAAAAATAATTTTATTGTTTTATTTTATTGTTTAGTTCAATATAGTTGTAGTTGTATATACATTTTTTTTTAATGTTTGTACTAGTAACTTTCAATTTTGTTTACGTTTGTTTAAGATAATAAAAATATCGGTAATTTATCGGTATTCCGGTTTTAAAATGAAAAATCACTGAAATACCGATATTGAAATTTTCCATCGGTATTGCATTATCTAATCACAATAGGGCTCTTAAGTTCTGCTTGACATTCAAATAATTTTTTTTTAATGAATTCGTCTTTTTCCATAATTGTTTGTATACTAATCATTACATAATATCGTTGAGCAAAAACAAAAAGTGTGATAGATAGAAGTATTTTTAATTCTGTGCCGACCGTTCTAAATCTGTCCTTTGTGCGGTGAGCGTCGTTCGTTCGCTCACCCGACTCCGCACCATTTATAGCCTCGGGCTATTAATAGAACAATTTCATTTAGACATCCAAATATTTAGAACCGATTTTCGTAATTTGCGCTTGTAGTACATTGATAAATTATAATTAACAATTTGTCCACATTAGGCTGAAATTATAGTGAAAATACCTAACTATAATTTAAATAATTATCTGGTTTACATATGTGCAACTAGTGAATGATCTTATTCATTAGTTACATATGCACTTAGGCACACGTTCATCTCAACCTTTATTTTGAAATTTTTGTAAATTTTTCATTTTGTAATTTTCTCAAATACTGCATTTTTCACTTAAGGTGACCATACATCCCGTACCTTGTGTCCCGGGTTATTTTAAAAGCATGATTTGTACCGGATTTAGATTTTTTGTTCCGGATTGTCCCGGTTTTTCGAAAATTAACAGATGAATTAACAAAAATTATGAAAACAAACGAACAAATGCCAATTTGTTTAATAGAATATTATACAAGGCTCAAAAGCGCGAAAAACATATAGATAGATATAAGATATAATATCATAGATGAAAAAGTATGACATATAATCAAATAATAAAGTTTTTACTAAAAGTCCGCAATTCTTATAAAAAAATATATATATAAAAAACTGTTATTATATAATTTGTGTGTTTAAAAATGTTCGATAATTTATTTGTCACGTTTGCATTCGGTATTCAAAAATTTAAGTAAATTTTTTTTTCAAATAAATAAACAAAAAAATGCTAATGCTTCTAGTTATAGCTATTTAGTCTATCTATCTAGTTATATTTTATTAAGTTCATATTTTCAGACTGATACGACTTTTTATGTTTTATACAAATATAAATAGTGCTGAGCATTTGTCTATTACATAATTTTTTACATTTAACAATCCTTCTTTAAATTTATATTTAAAATATGTGTAAATAATCAACTTAGTTAATAAAAAATAAATTAATTTATGAGTGATTAAAAGTACTCCAAGTAGATTTATTACATTGAACGAACACGTTAACTCGGAGTATTTTCTAGAAGCAAATTTTCAAAAATAAATAATTTATAATTGAATTTAATATTTAATTTTAATTTTTATAATTGAACCAGTTTCCGTAGGACTTTAATGGTTTAGTATGTTCATTAAGACCAAGTACTTTACCGTTATACCAAGTAAATCGTCTAATTTTAATTTTAACAAACGTCAAAAAAACTACTCATTTTCTCAAACTTTGATGAATTTTTAAAATTGATTTACTTGTCGTAAGGCCGTGATATTTCAGTAAGATCTATAAGACCATGATATATATCGCCAAAAAAAAATCCATAATAATGATTTATGTAACATGTATTGAAAACTGAGAAAACCACACGATATATAAATTATACAGAAAATAAAAGTTAGATAAAACAATTCAGAAAAAGGTATAAATAATTACTTTGTACTTTTAATATCATATCAATGATTCGGAGCTTTTGTACTTTTTCTATTAAAACATTATTCGCAAATTTAACCCTTCAAACTGAGGGATTATAGTAAAAATATCATTTTAGTTTTAGTCTATAATTTCGTGATAGATAGATTTTATTTTACGTCTTGAATTTTAAATTCAAATTCGAATTCGAATTTTATTTTAAACCTAACCAAACATACATTTGGTATGATATATCATTATTTTAGACGGTGTGATGATTGAAAGTTTTGAACCATCGGCGTTAATATTATTTTACTTTTGCTTTAAGTGACTTTGAGGGGTTTTGTATTAAGAATCATTAGAATTACAATTAGAGTAAATTCTGATAAAATTATTTTTCATATGTTCAAATTTAAAAAACATATCAGATTTTGAATTTACTTCAAAAATTTACTTGCAAAAATGTGTATATTACGTGCAAAGTAATTTGAACGATAACTTGGCGGTAAATATGTGGTTATTTATTATCATTTATGTAAATAAAAATTAAGAACTAATTGTTACAACTATGATATAAATACCTAAGGACAAGAGTGTGTGTTGTAATTCGGCTCCCAACATCATTCCATTTTCAGCCTTGTCGTACAATTTCAAACATTCCAAGAAGTCTTCGTAGCATCCGGTTTCCTTCTCTTTTTTGACCTGAAAGACGTAAATTATTTCTTCATTTTGTGATATTTTAAGCTTGCGGAAATTTATTTTTTGATGGTATCTTCATTCTTTTCAATTCTTTTGTTAAAATTTAGATCATAAAACCATAAATATGAGCAATTCAGTCGCAAGGATAATATTGCGAATATATTTATACACCTACACATGCAAATATAATAGATATATATATATATATAATAGATTTATATAATATTGTGTGAAATGCAATTATGTAAAACTTTCATAGAAATTATATATACTTATATTTATATATATACATGTGTATGTGTGTACGTAAATGTGATTTTCTATAGAAGTGTATGTAAGCGATTTTGAAGCGCAAAGTCATAAAATAGATCACCCATTTTATAAGGACAGCTTTCGGAAAGTTCGATAAGTATCTGACCGGAAATTAAATTTATTTCACATCATACAACGCTTCCGATTGCGTGTAAAAATTTATCTATATTTAGTTCCTGATATTTTAGGGTTTCTTTTGAAAATTGATATGGGCAACATCTACAAAACTTTTAAAAATAAAAAGTTACAATTCAGTGCAGAATTTAAAATTGCGGTTTATGTTAAAAAGTAATCCAATTATACAGGATGTACTGATTCAAAGTGTAAATAAATTAAATGCAAGAGAGCACTTTTAAATCTCAGCCGTACGTGAGTTGTGTTTCACAAGAAGTTTAGATCTTCTAAAAATAACACACGTGCTGCCGAGCTATCAACGCATCACTTGAAATTGGAACAATCCTCCTTATATTTCTTCACAATAAAAATCACACTAAACGCGCAAGTCACTTATTACATCACAATATAATACAGATCAATGTAAAAGTCACAAATCACCGTATCCAAGAAATTCGATTACATCACTTCAAATAACACTTCTTCATTTGTTCATATGTCGATGTGTATGTTACTAATAAAGTTATGGGTGTCATGTCTTTAAATTCGGACCTGGCTGTAGATGGGCAGGAATTCTTCAACTTTCATTTTTTTCTCGTTCTTCTTCTTGGTTCCTCCCATTTTTTCGACTAAGGCTTGAGTTGGGTTCAAGTTGAGTGCGCGCAAGACATCTCCGATGTTGAAGCAGTCGATTTGGCCGCTACCATCGAAATCGTAGATGGAGAAGGCAAAGTTTGCCCCTGGAAACAATAAATAAAAAATCATATTTATAATTATAAAACATACTGAAAGAATTCAAATTAAGTTATTATTTGTAGTACATAGGTCGAATTTGTGTTTGTATATTTAAGTTTTAAGTCCAAAATTTTTGTTTTTGATTCAGCCATACTTGCCAAGCTACTTAATTCTGGCCAAATCTTTTTTTCGTTAAATTATTAATCAAAAAGTACTAGTAAAATGTACTTACTTTCGACATCCTTAGCACTGAGATCGGCCTGTCAACAGAAACAAAGAAAAGCGTTACAGTCACTATAATCCAATGGTCTTCTATCCATATTTCCACTTTCTACTTACCATTTTGTAAGTTTGGGAGATGTATTTACACTACACTGCAAACAAGACTGGTCAACGGTCTAGGATCGACTTGCTAATGAAAAGCGCGGTGCCTAGCCTGGCTCTTTTAGAGGAACCAAATGTCTGCCAAAAATGGTGGGGATTGAGATATATTTGTGGACTCGCTGAAGGCACCTAAAACGTATCATATAACACATACAATATAGTAAGCAGCGCCTGCCCTGGCGTCCTATTGTACTATATCAAGAATCCTCGCCTGGTGCCGCGAACAAATGGATTGGAAGAACTCCTTACACAGACCTGTTCTCGGTACACTCGATCATTGGCATTTTGGATTCTTGATTCAATACCTTTAATAACTCACATTCACTTGATAAATGAATTATTAAATCAGCTGCATCTACATTATTAGACAGTTTGTTTTTATTCTCTATTTTATTTACAACTGGCCAGTTAAGGGCATTTAGTGAATGTGTGGATTTTACAATTGTCAGCCGTAAAGGGACATTGTATACTATAGTGACATGTTGAAAAAACAACTCAATAGCTGTTTTTCCATTCCTTATAAATAATATTACCTTAACGATTTTCTTATAAGCAACAACTAAGTTATTTCAATCTTTATCAGGGAAATTGATGACTTAAATCAAGCAGCGATTTTCTCTTCAATCTACGTCGATAGTTTTCTGTTATTAGACATTGAATCAAATAACAACAAGCGGTTATAATTCACTTTATGTACATATATTACTTGATGTTCTGCTTTCCAAGAATCTATTCATAATATCAACATTAAAATTTCCTTTTTCTTAACTATACCTAGGTATAGTTAAAAAGGTATATTCTATGGTTTTATGGTCTAGGTATATTTTATGTCTTATTGCGATAAATTATGAAGTCAAAAAATAAGAAATATGATTCCACTCAATTTCATATAAATATCATATTATTCTAATTTCCGACATTTTTAATTTTAATTTTATATTTCCGACCAAAAGTGAGTGTGTAAGAAGGGGCCACTTTCACATATTTTCACTGATATCTCGGCCAAATGATGAGATAGGGAGTTGAAAATTGGTATATCGTACTGATGAAAATGAAAAGACCTATAAAATGGCATCAAAATTATTTAAATACTATAGTGAAGCCGATTCTGTATGGAAACCCGCCCATACCCTTTATAAATTAATATTTTTTATTCGGAATATTTTTTTATCTTTCCAATAGCAGATTTTCGATTATAAATATATATTAAAATAATTTCAAATATATATTTGACAAATATACACGCATAATATTTTTCTACAAATTTTGATTGGCTTATAAACCATTTGCAAAAACAATGGTAAATCATCGAATAACTCAGTAAACTTCTACTAAATAATTTCAGTGATTAAAATTAATTTTTGAGTTTCGATTTTGTAAATAATTTCTATCATTATCCAAATCATTTTTTTGCTATTAACTCTTTCTTATATATTTTACATAACATATCTATTTTTTGGAAAATAATGCATATGTTAATGTATATAAAATTATTGATTGTAAATGTAAATCAGTATAAAATTATCTAATTAACGCTTAAGGTAACATGCGATAAAAATTTTGCTGTATTTTTTAAAATAAATTATATATAATTTTTTATAATTATTTGTTATTATTGTATTATTAATTACGTATTTACCAATTTATTTATACCTAATCTAATTATAGAAATAAAAGAACAGATTATTCACGCTGCGATGTTAAATATATCTTTCCAAGTGTATAAATTTCGTATAACTATCACATTATTTTCATGCATGATATATTTTTTATAGTTATAGTTTTTATACTAAAAAATTGGATATCATTATATATTAGATATATATTTTAAATTAAATAACAATTATTTTACAATGATCTAACAAAAGCGTTTTGAGAAATAAAGCAGTTGAGCAATGATTGTTCAGGTTCATGGCACTATACCATTGCCAATTGATTGTCATTGGAACTTTATATATGATTATTGATATTATTTACTAGAATAATTTTAAAATGAATTTCTATACATTTATCTAAATTGTTCTGGCATTTATACAATTATATTTTTTTTATTAATACTATACACATTGATATCTTTCTCCAAGAGACATTCAGTAATTAGAGTGTAAATAAATTAAGTAAAAGCTTAAAAAACTTACTTAGTGGTAAATCTTTTTATTACAAACGGCAACAAAATTAATTTTAAATTTTTAACATAAGGTGACATTAGAGCGGGCTTAAAGGTCCGGGGGTAAAAAGGTCCATCACCAATATCTCAAAAACCAGTAAAGATAAACTACAATGTTTGAAAATCTATAACAAAACTATTTTTTTTCGTCGTTATTTTTTTTTGGTTGTGACTACTGTTGTTTATTAACGAGACCTTAATATTATATGTATTTAGTCGCCGGAGCAGCGGCATTCGAATGGAAAGGGTTAAAATTATTGCTATAAGGCTGACTAGATCTGAACCTTTTTTCTAAAAAAATAATTTATTATTTATTATATACATTTTTTATTTTTTAATTAAACTATCTATGAAAGAGCTTTAAAAATAATACATGAAATAAATTGACTTTATTTTCACCTGAATAAATGGGTATAGCATGAGAATGACTAGTTAAAGCTTTAATAAAATTTTATATTTGCAATACTACTAGTTTGGTACAAATTTGTTATTTCTAGGGTGTAAAATATAGTTGTTTTAACTTAATACACATGAACATTATTGCAATACTACTTAAAATATGATATCAAAGAATTTAGAAATTTAATAAATTGAATTTGTTTTTAGATCAAACATTATTAACTTAGAATCGTATCAGTCGTAAAATTATGCAAATTAGAAATGATCAAATTAATTATTGGCATTAACTATCGATCATAAGGCAGATTTAATCCTTGTTATCGAGCAGTATGCTCAATTTTCACTTGAAGTGTTAGATCTCAAATAAAATCTCAAGAGAAAAAGAAAATTGCTGTAACTTATATAAGTCAGCAATATTATATATATATATATATATATATATATATATATATTAAGGTGGTCCTTAATTTGGACATTTTCAAATTTCTTTGCTCCCAGAGGCTCAAATGCTTTCAAATTGATAAAAAAAATCCTCTAAAAGTTTTAGCTCTTTTTATTGTCTTTTAGATAGTGCGCAATTCAATCAAAGCTTTATGGAAATAGCATGGAAAAATTTTCAAAAATTTATAAATGTTTTTAAAATATATTAAATTATAGAGAAAAAAAAGATTTTTTTGGTCAATTTGAAAGCATTTGAGCCCCTGGGAGCAAGGAAATTCGAAAATGTCCATATTAAAGACCACCCTAATATATATATGTATAAAAGTATAATGTTTGACCGCTGGGTTGCTCTCTCACAAAAATACTAGTTTAGGATATGATAGTATGATAACACAGCTCACAGAATACACAGTTCTGACTGTTGTTAAATATTTAAAACACAAAAATATGACTCCTAAAAATATATTATATAATTAAGGTAAAAAAAATCGTGTTCGTTGCGTATTTATTATTATATTCTTCTTTACAATCTTGGCCTTATTGCTAAAAATAAATCGAACGTGCTCTTAGCTTTATGTATCCGCATGTCTTATGAATACTGGTCGTAACTTATATCTATTGCGACTGCTGCACATTTATTCACCCAAGAAAAAAACAAATAACAAAAAACACATCTTGTTTTGCATGGCTAAATCGCATATTGGAAAGCATTAGACTGTATTAGGTAGTATAACTGCTTGGGTTTAGTACAAATATATTAATTAGAGCGCAATTAAAATAGTATCAGCAACAACATTATATATGTTTAAAATTGTTTATATTTTTTCTTTTTCTATTTATTTGATATTGTACTTTTTTAAGCATTATACATATATTTTACCATCAGAAATTTCTAATTTATATCCCATTGTACATATATATTGCTGGTGCTGGTGTGAAGTCCCAAAGCAGGTCTATCATATGAGAGCTACTTATTTAATTTACCCTCTTTCTCCACACGCTTAGATATCACTCTTCAAATATAAACACGATATTAGATTATTAACTTTCCGAAGAAGAAGTTTATGTAATCGGCTGGATCGATTTTAAAAATGGAAAAGCCATTCGATCTATCTCAATGAGGACTATTGTTTGTCAGTTTTGTGCGACGATCTGCCGAGCCGTTTCTTTGTAATTTGAAAAAAGTGTTAAACTTTTCGTCCACATTTAAGCTCATACTACCGAATTGATTTTAAAAACCAAAAACTGTTCGAAAGATATTATTTGGGAATGATACTGATTAGTTTTAGGTGAAAATCTACCGAACCGTTTTCTTGTAATTAACTGTTGAAAAAAAATTGAAGCCGATTTTTATGGAACTTTTTGGCGATATATATCATGGTCTTGTAGAACTTACTTCTAAAAATTTGAGAAAACTCATCAAAGTTTGAGAAAATGAGTTTTTATGACGTTTGTTAAAATGAAAGTTAGACGATTTACTTGGTATAACAATAGAGTACTTGGTCTTAATAAACATACTAAACCATTGAAGTCATATGGAGCCTGGTTCAATTATAAAAATTGTTGTTGTTTGAAAATTGCTTTTAGAAAATACTCCGAGTTAACGTGTTCGTTCGTTTTCAATTATTTGTAATAAATCTTCTCGGAATTTATTTTTTATTGATGCCTCAAGGCAAAACACCAATAGCAACTAGTTTGATATGAAATTTTTTGTCTAACACTTCTTTAGATGTTAGGATTTATTATTGATAATACAAAATTTAAAAATAATTTGTAAGGAAAAACAAGAAAAGTATATAACATCTGTTGTTTCATCGTAGTATGTTTTGCTTTATATTATCATAGTTGTCTCATAAGTAAATGAGAAAATGGTCAATTTTAGCAACAATGTGCGCAATTGCTTAAAAACCTGTGTTCCGAAAATTCCGATGCGTTTAACTAAACGCCTTGAAATTTTATTCTTGCTTTATAATAATATAAATAGATGAATCGTTGCCAAGTCTCCATTCCGGTTTTAAAATAGGATAATGTTCACCGTGTGCTTTGTCATTATTGA